GCTATCCAAAGAGAATTCAGAGGGAAACCGCAACTGCCCCGATTGTCACAACACCTTCTGGTTTGCATCTAAACTGCCCAACCTGACTTTTTAGTGCTTAGCTCATGGGGAAAATGGTCATTACTACAACTCTACTTTGGGGGGTTTTCTAACCCAAAATAGTTTTAGGAAGAAACAAAACTTGTTTTGTTTTTCCATTTAAAAAAAAAAAAAAGAAAACAGAGGAAGTTTAGAGGGCGAGGAAGGGCAGTTTCCCCTCATTTCTGGTAAGCCGCAATTTGCATTTCTTGTCCCGAGATGTCAGGCAGAAACACTGCTCCGCAGCTGGAGAATGGGCAGAGTGCCCAGGGCTAATGTTTTATCCTTCCCTGGAACGTGGGACAGCACATGTGGTGGACCCTAGGTGGGCTGCCGGGCCCTAGAGCCGGTAAGGTTTTTAGGAGGGTGGTAGGTTTTCCCTCTGGGTCCTGCAGAGCTAACACTGCAACCCCGACCACCCCGACGACAGACAGCATGGCTTGCCTGCCCAGATCCTTACAGCGTGGCTGTGCTTGCTGAGTCCATCGCTGGGAGCAGCATTCTGTAACCCATCGACCTGAGCTGCGACCTAATGTCTGTGCCAGGGTACAGCCCTGGCAGCCCTGCGGACTCTGCTGCAGCATCGCTGCGGGCAGCAGGCGGTGCACGTAGCAGCTCGTGTGGCAGAGAAAGCCGAAATGCTGTGCAGAGAGTACGATGTGCACAGGAGGGCGCCAGCTCCTCGTTCCCTGGAGCACGGCTGCTGCTGCAGCAGTACTTTGGTCTTTTAAGTTTTGCACTGCACAGGAAATGCCTTTGCAGAAAAAGGTCTCGGATGAAGGCGACGTTTGCTGCAAAGCATATGGGCCAACGTGCTGCGAGTCTTAAGCAAAGACACCAAGTACAGCTCTCTGATATTTAACCCGTGAAGACGCTTCCTCCAAAGTGTCTTGCACTTACCTCTGAGAGGGATGGGACCTGGGATTAAACAGAGGCCTGACGGTGGCAGTCCCCTACTCCCGACCCATCCCCAGCAAAAAGCCCAATGACTTGCACTGGCTCCAGCTGCTATTGCCAAGAGTTAAAATCCCCAAGAGCACAAATCTGATTGCTAAAAACTATCATTGGGACAAGAATCTAGCTCAGAGAACTACAATCCTCCTTTAAGCTGACTTAAAAATCCTACCAAAGGTGATTGCTCGGTTTCAGAAGCCTGGAAATGTGTCTGTGCATGCATGCACCCCCAAGAGATGCCCGATTCCCAGTCCTAGAGCCTGCACTGCAGTCCAGCTGTCGAGCAGAAACAGCACAAACTTCCTGCATTCAGGCCTATTCCAGCATGCTCCATATTCATGAGCCGAGACAAAAAAAAGACAATTTAGCGTTTGACTTCTGCTCCAACACTGCAAACAAGAGATGTTGCTGGTGTTGCAAAAGCAGCTAGACCCCCAGGACCCCCCCTTGTGCTTGGTGCTGTACAGATACAAAGCAAAAAGATGGGCCTTGCCATGCAGAAATTACAGTCTGAGTACTAGACCAGAGCTGAGAGGTGGGTACAGACACTCAGGAGAGCATGAGGATGCCACGAGCTGGTATTGGCCTCACCATCAAGTGTAAGATATGGGAACAGAGCTTCTGTAGGGGCTGTGGATCCTTATGGGATCCACGTGAGAAGGGAGAGGTGCTTATTTGCAAATCTAACCAGGGCTTGACAGAAGCCGGCATCAAAGACAACAAGAGCGTGGGGGACAGGCTAGAGGGACATGGCCCACCTGAGACCTTCGGTTATGTCCTAGAACTAGAATTCGAGGTAGCTACAGATCTCGCCATGTTCAGCTCGTGTCGACTTACAGTCCCAAGCTTCCTGTTCTTGCACACAGCCAAACTCCAAACTCGTCTTCTTACAGCAAGAGACCCACACAAAAACGGGAGCAACCGGACAGCAGCCATCGTGGCCCCAACTGCACACACTGCATCACTTCACCTGTCATTTCATCCCATTTTGGAACAGAAACATCATCAGGAGGTTGTGGGCATCCCTCTGATTGCAGCGCATGCCTGTCCAGGACAGCCTCTCTAGTAGCATCAGGTGCCACTAATTAGTCACCTGGGCTGTACTCGCACTGCGTCTTTCAGGAGAAACACTCTCAGCCCCAACCCCAAGGTGCTCAAATTGAGAGGGCGTCACTTAGGCATCTAAATGCCTTTGAGGCTGTGGGCATTTACACTTTGAATAGAGAATGTTGTTTTGGGGTTTTTCCCCCTGCATTTATGTCAACCCTTTGCATCATTTTTTCTTTTTTATTCTTTTTCTTCTTACTTCTTTTAAATAGAGAAGAATGACTTGAAAGTTTTGTTTTTTGTTTTTTTCTTTCTTTTTTAATCCTGCTGGTTTTTTACCTCGGAAATAACCAGACCATCTCCTCTGCTGTCCCGGGGTTTGAAGGCGGACATGTAGCTGTGCTCTTTACTGTGAGTTTTTATACCTGCATGCCAAATCTCCAACACACGCAGCCTTTATCCCCAGGGCTCAGTAGAGGCCTATAGCTCCTCGCAGGAACAAAGCCAAGGCTTTGAACAGCCCGACCTGCAAGCCCCTTCCCTTCTGCAGCAAGGATGCTCAACTGTGTGCTGCTCCACCACTCTGCAAACAGCTGGTTGCTGTTTGGCACTGTCAGAAACCGTTGCCCCATCAGCTAAGTATCTATATGCCAGGAGTTTCCTTCGGCATGTCTGTCAGAGCAAAACCTCTCCTCCAGCATAGCTCTGGTCACTGGAACAGGTTCCCAGGGGCAGGCAAGGGCTGACATAAAAGCTGGGGGGCAGGCACATGCGCGCGCACACACACACATTCAGGCCTTGTTTTTATGTCATCCCAACAACATGGGACACAACCCAGTCCCCTCACCCATCCTTCCCAGGTCTAGCACAGAGCCACGTTCCCCCACTTCCCCTCAGATTTGACTTCTGAGTTCATTTATTTGTCCCAAGAGAAATGCTCTGATCAAGGCACCCAAGAGGAAGTGGCAGCATCCTGTCTAGACACTCAGAGGCTCGCACCGCATGTTGTTTGTCAAACCCCAAAGAACCAGAGCAGACTCAGGCAAAGGCCAATGTGAGGATGAAGAGAATAAAGGTCCCAATGCAGCTCCCTAGAGGCTACTCCCATGCAGGGTTGAGGTACACTCAGAGGCTGGCAGCAGACAGAAAACCAAGGGCGAGGGACCAGGCTCAGCTGACCAGATTATAACGAGTGAGGAAGGCAGCGCCGTCCCAAATTTAAAACCAATTTCTACAGCTACGTGAATAGAAGTGCCACCGATGCCGCTGGGAAGTTGGTTTTAAATTTGGGATGGAGCAGGAATCAAAACCAGGTGCACCCTGGTCCCTGCAGCTGCATCACCCTCCTTGCACCTGCTGGAGGGAAGGGAAGGGAGAAGGAACAGCCATCACACAGCATCTCCATGCTTCTGGTCTGGGCAGAAAATCAGCTTCCCTGCTTAAAAACACAGATCCCGATTGTTAAAGGCTAATTTTGGAGGGGAAAGTGCACGTGGCATGCTTTTAAATAGGGTACTATCACAGTAGTAGCCAGAGGTCCCAATTGTCTTCAGGACCCCTCTGCAGTAGGTGTTGTGCAGACACGTGATAAAAGTCAAGCCCCCCACCCCAATCATTTTATAACCCAACATCTCGCCTACATGAGAAAGCTCTGACCAGCGCTACCAACATAGTCTGGGTAGTACAGCAATATGGAGACTCATTTGGGTACAGGAACGGCTTGTTTGGCTTTGCTAATGGTATCCCAGCCAACCTCAGTCACTTATTGAAATATTGAAAGTTCATGCAGGTGAGGAGCTATATCAGGATAACTCCGTCAACTTGCAGTCACCCTGGGAGTTAACAGCAAGCCAGCTTTTGCTGCCTTCTTACTTGCTTATAAGCTTTTTTGTTTTAATTTTGCAAGCAAGCTTTCTCATAGAAACCAGGCAGACAAAGAGGAGGGGGAAGGAACAGCGACAGTAGCCCAGTCTCACAGCAGGCCAGCGCTGAAAATAGCCGGCAGGTCAGTGCAGCATTCAGTCTGCTCTTCCTTGCTTTCTCCTTCATTGCAATTGCCAGCAGCTGGGGAAAGAAGAACTTCCAGACCTTCCGTTCAGACAGACGTTGTCTGGGCATTGCAGAACGAGTCAAGCTGCTGCTGCATGCTCAGAAGAGGCACAGGCGTGGAAGCACCGGGCCCCAAGGGGTATGTGACATGGGTCCGAGTCTCCGGCCACAAAGGAAGTGCAGTGCTGGGTGTTGCCATCCACAGGAAAAAGAAATCACCGCACAGAGTTTAGAGCAACTAGCTGCACTTTTTACTGTCTTCCTAAGCAGTCAGTCATGCCCAAAGCTTTGGGGCCGGGATGGAGATGGCACGGAGGTGTTAGGCAAGCATTTGAGTTAGTGTCTCAAAGTCTCATTTGCAAAATCTGATCCAGTGGTTCAGCTGTTTTAGACTCAATAGCCCTGGCCACCCAGATGCCAGCTCATAGTTTTCACTCCTTTTTTGACTACAGAAAACTAATAACGTGATTTTTCTGTTGTAAAGGACTCAGAAAACCCACAGCAAGGCAGAATGTTTTTAATGCTAGAGATTCCTATGTGAAATCTCTGGGTTTATCGCAGAATCATGTTTGCACACCTAACAGTGCAAACATTGTGTGGCACCCTTGAAAGGATCTCCAGGCACCCCAGGGTGCTGCTGTGACACCCTGGTTGAGAGTCACTGGTATAATCAAACTGGCTGGCACAAAAGCACCCACAAAACCCAGTTAAAATAGAGCTGGGGTTGCAGACCAGGAATGTAGCTGGAGCAGATGTTTGGTGGCCTTCTGCTGGAATTGCTCTCAATGCCAGGTTCCTCCTCGTTCATAAAGTGGACTGATGACACCAAAGTGGGATTAATGGCAAACACCAACAAGCTCTGGAGAGACTAGAAACGTGGCCAGGCAAATAATCCACTGGCAAATTTATCTAGAGCAACGGACCCCAACACACATGCACAGGGAGGAGAAACCTGGGAAAGGCAACAGTGCCAAAAGAGACAGCAGGGCATGAGCAGGCACCCAACTAGAAGTTGCTTTGTATCGGGGTATGCGACTTCAGGCACGACTTTCCAGGCTTCCTGTCGCAGAGGAGAATGAATGCTCCCTGCAGCTCTGATGAGGCTGCCTCTGAAATACCAGGTGTTGTTCTAGGCATCAGCTTATTGAAAGACTAAATAGATCAGGCTGTGGAAGGG